AATCGATTACGAATATTAGTATCTTGAACGATTTCATTAATATTACAGCCCGACATTAAACGTGGATAATTCATCGATATATAATGAGCAAGTGTTATATGATACTTTGAAGATTCTTCTTTCGAAAGTCCAATTATTTGATTATGAATTGATAAATATTGAACAAAACGTGGTCGATACAAATACTTTTTACGTCCTTTTTTATATTCATGGGGCGCACGAAAAATAAATCGTTCGATAGTTAAACGTCTTGTATCTTTCTCTTCAGAAGTATATTCACTAGAATTTTTACTACAAAAAAATAGACTCCGAAAACTAATTGATCCTATAATTCGTCGACCAAAATTTTCATATACATAATCAACAATTGTTTGATATGGATGTAATGGTACAATATATTCATCAAGATCGAACATACCTAACCATTCTGTTTGATCACCATAACGAATTAGACAATCGTGTAATGCTTCTACTTGAAAATATCGTCCTGGGAAAACATCGACAAGACCGAGAGTATGAAAATTCCATTGTACAACATCAACAAGACCAGGATATTTTTGAGTATAGATATTAATAATAGTTGAGAGATGATTATTGGTATCCGTTGTATTATATATGACGAATTTGCTAAATCCTACTAATCGATGAAATTCTATCCATTGAACTAAATATTTAGCTGAATTTTGTAAAGGTGAAGTACATAATGTAAACGATTCTTGACTAGAATTCGATGAAATAACAGACACTATTGGAACGCTTACAAATGCTTTAAGTATAGGTATTTTTCTTTTTTTAGTTGTTGTATTTGTTGATGCAAGATAAACTCGTATTGTTTGATTCAATTTCCATAATTGATCAATAGCAAATTGACTAAGTGGACAATCCAAAAGAGATATTCGTTCATTACCATATTTAGAATCATAAGTATATACAGGTGTTACTGATCCATCACTAAAGATACACCATAAACGTTGTTTATTTGAAGAAAGTGGATGAGATAAAATGCGTTTTGGTAAAGTAGCTTTCATATCGTCTGGGTAAACTGTCATAAAAGTTAGACTTACTCCATAACGTATATGACTTGCTGCAACACTCAACACTAACAAATGACCATCGGCTGATAAACATGGTACTGTAGGTATATTATCGTTAGCATTTTCGGACCATTCAGCGACGATACTAGACATATTATGAAGTAAATTTTGCTCATCCAGAGTATGTCCAATTGGTTTCCAACCTTCTGCTCGACGAGAAACATAATTAAACCGATTAGAATATGAAATATGACTATTGAAAGTACTCGTTACGGATGTGTAGTTTATAGTTATATAGTGAGATAATAATGTAAATAGAGTTAAAATAAATAGACCTTTTAACAGACGAATGGTGAACGATGTACGTCTCATAACTATTCAAATGATTGAGAACTAAAAAAACATGAAATCAAACTAATTTGAGGGTGACTGTGGGTGTAAATGTTACATTCGTTCTTTATTTAAGTCTTCAAAATTTCTTTAATTTTTACTAGTAATAAATGTTTACTGATTATCTCGCTGAGTGAAATGAGATCTTTAAATTAGTGGCTACGTAGATTATACGCCGATTCTTGATGCTTTGGAACAAAGAGGTTTTATCATCATATGAAATGTTGAAATTAGTTGCTGAGAGTGAAACCAAGGTTTATGATCCTCAATATAAATAATCAAGTGATGACCAAACGTTGTTGTTCGAAGAGAGCAACAAATCTCATTAACTCGTTGTATAAATGATTACTTATTCAATCAAAATTATTCCTTTCATTTTCTTGAATTATCTTTGCTATAACAGGTGTAATCGTACTTACAGTGGACATATTGTTGTTATGATGTCGATATTTTTAGGTAATGTGTCGTCAGCTAAGCCATTTTTAATAATAATAAAAAAAACGTTACTCAAAGATGCAGAAAAATTTTCAACATTCTGTATGCCACAATTTTATAATAAGAGGCAAGCAAATAGAAAGATTGTTTTTCTTTTACGTTTTACGTTCGCTACCATTAGAGTACTTAACGCTGCCAGGCATTTAGTTGTTGTGAGTTACTTTTTCTTCAACTAAAAGAAAAAAATCGTCAGTCATTACTATTAATCTTATAGATTATTTTTAAACAAAGGTAGTAATTATTATGAATTTTAATAATCATTAAAAAATAATAATCAAAACAACAAATAGCAATTGACTATGTATCAATATATTTGTCATAACTAAAAATTAGTAACGATTTACATGAATAAATTCAAATTGCATTCCGATCTGGGTTTATATATAGAATATTGATCAGTGATGTGGCAAAAGAATAGATCAATTTATTTATGTAAATAAATTTTCGAACCAGTGGACGTTAAATAGTATAGACCACCTTTCGTACCTTGATAGATAGGTCGACCATTGGCTGTACCTCGACTAGTATAAACTTCTCCAGTGAGACGTCCTTTATGATTGGTTAATTTATCAGAATCTTCTAAAGTTTTTTCTAATTGCGGTTGGATCTTTTTCTTGTAATCAAAAATAGGTATATCGTCATATTTGTCGAAAAATGATTCTTTACTTGTAACAGGACTGCCAACAGACATGGTCTGATCGTCTTCTGTAGTGAATTTCTGAAGAATATCAATGAATTGAAGACGATCAGTTTTCAACCATGAACAACATTGTATTAGTAAGTGACATAAATGCGATGGTCCTGATTGATTTCCACAGACATTATTAAAGACTGATGCATTTTCTTTACGTTGAAGAGCTCGAAAGAGAAGACTATCATCATTAAATTGTTCGATCCAAGGTTCACGAGCACTGGTAATTTCTAAAATAATACAACCATAACTCCAGACATCTGACAGATAAGATGATGGTTCTGGTGGTGGAGCACAAAGTTCAGGTGCCATCCATCGAATAGTTCCTATCATATATACTGAACTTTAGAAACATGTAAATTATACGATTGAATATATTTACCTTTAGTAGTATTAGTACGTCTTTTTTCTTGACTATCATTGTCTAATAGTTTGGCAATACCAAAATCACAGATGACTGCTTCGTGTGTACCGTCTCTTAGGAGAATATTATGACTTTTTAAATCACCTTGAATAATATGATGATCATGAAGATATATCATTCCTCGAGCGATATCTTGCAAGATTTGATCGATAATTATCCAATAGGAACTCGAAGTAAATTTTGTTTGAATAAATTCATAGAGATT